TATATATATATATATTATATCACATTTTTGCTACTCTTTGACCTCGTCTGTTATCATACGTGTGTTGGCTAACTAGAAATTAAAGGAACAAAACATTGGATGAAAACTCTTTAATCCTTATAAATTTATTATTTTTAGATGATGTTGATCATTTAGTAAAGATGTGGCATAACTTTCACCTTAATGGTCATTCTAAGATGACATGTTTAGATGCATGCTACTTCATCAAGAAATAGTGACAAACCATTTTCAAAACTTCTAAAAATTTATAGACTAAAATCAAAATTTCCATTTTTAGAAGGACTAAAACCCGAATTTTTGTTCGATATTCTTCGGCCTACATACATACTATTTACTTTATTTGCACCTCAGTATAGCTCAAAGACAAGCAAAGGAACCATAATGTCTTGCATTTATCATAATATATATCACTGAGAAAATACAGTTTCTACATATTTAGCATTCTGATGCATAATATTATTAAGGCTAAATTGCTCCTTTGGTTTCTTTTAATTCTTAGAATGCAATTTTTATCTTTCTATTTTTAATTACGCATTTTTCATTCTTCAATTTTAAAAAATCTGCCATATTAGTATAACTGCTTAATTTGCATACGGTGACGGTTAAAATTCAGAAAAATTGCTCGAGCAGAAAGTGAGAACTCAGTGGTATGTTATGTTGTCATTCTACTGCATGCATGTGGCATAACAACTATTACCCTCAAGATTATGTATTGATGCATTTAAAGCGTGCAGATTTGGCAGTTGGATCAAAATTAGAAGACCAAAATTACATAATTAAAAATAAAAGATCAAAATTAAAGATAAAGATTAAATTGAGACAAAAATGTGCAATTTAATCTATTATTTAATAGCCGAGTCCTCTTTTATGTGCATGTTTTTGGTGCTTCTATGCTACTGTTGACAAAACACTAAAAGTAAGGTTGATAACTGATTGAGATTGTATAATGGCTTTCAGGATAGAAGGAATAGAAAGAGTGGCACTGCCAGCATGGAAATTGAAACAGTGAAGGATGTTTCTGGTCCATCTGATGCTGAAAAGATGGGGCATATATCTGAAAGCCACGTTGAAGGATAGGATTGACAACCCCATGCATGTGACTTAGCCTGCATGTACAATTCCCGTTGTTCACGTTCCATTAACTTATCTATACAACTGTGTCCTTCAGAAAATTTTGCTGCATCTGATGATAGATCAGAGAAAGCCCGTTTGGATAAAAAGGTTTTGTTTTTTTGTTTTTTTAATTCAATGTTGGCATTGAAGACATGATACACCAGCTTTGCAAAGAGGGTAGAATCAGAATCAGAATGGGGTTGTGACTTGTGAGTGTTAGTGTTGTACAGATGTCTGTGGGGTCTATTTTCTCCTTACACGATTGTTGATTGGTTTTTTCTATGTATTTTTTTTCAAGGCCCTTGACTATATACAAAAGACTAGTATTTGGCTACAATTTCCTTGTCATTTTTGCTTTTGGTTTGTCTTTGTCCTTAAGCATCTAGAATAGGAGTTTCTTGTGGGATTCTTAAACTTGAGAATTGGTTTTTATACAATTTCACCGTCGGAGCCTGATATGACTTGAAAATTACGTCTAAGAATGTTTTTTTCCAAAAAAAAAAATGTTCTCAACATTAAAAATAACTTCTTATGGGATCGTTAACAAGATATAAATTTGTGAAATAATTTGCGAGATTCATATATAGTTCTTAAGGCTTTATTTTTAATTAAGAAATTTTGACTTTACATCTGAACTGAAAGTTTTTTAGGTCAAAAAACATTTAAAAATGTCATTGTATAGTCTCTTAATTAGATTGAAAAATTTAAGAAAAATCACTATAAAATATATCAAAAGAGGGGAGTTGAGTCTAGATATTATGCTAATTTAAAATTAGAAAAATTTCACTCTTCCAAGTTTAAAGAAAATAAAAATAATAAAATAAAATAAAATATAGTGATGGCAACAAAATTAAAATTTAGAATTTGGTCACTATCCAAATTCCCTATTACTAAGTTGATTATAGTGGGTATTTAAAACTTATGTGGCATACTAGGTTATCAGACATGGTAAATTTTTGGATGGACCACTTATACAAGTGGTGTATGGATGCACCGTTTTTATTCACCATTAGATGCATCTAATTCTATTACTTATCATACACCCTATCACATAAGATCAAAGTTTCTGAATTTTTTATTGAAATAATTTTTTTTTAAAAAAAATTACCCAAAAAGCACATGTTCCAATGTATTGACGCAACTGCTATTCACGTTCGGAATGGGCCGTTCTAAAATCAGAACGGTCCGTTCCAGATGAAACAATAACACATGACGAATGGATCAGAACGGCCCGTTCCAGATGAAAAAATAACACATGACGAATGGATCAGAACGGCCCGTTCCGAAATCAGAACGGGCTGTTCTGGCCAGATGGGTCAACATATGGAACAACAGACGTGAGCACACATTGATGGGTCATCCAATGCAAGGCCCGTTGTTTCACACACAAGAATACATGGAATGGTACATGGTCAATTCCATCTATTTTCTATCTGTGCTACGACTATTATCACAAATCAACATAAACCCTAAACCCTAAACCCTAAACACATTTAACTGTTTATTTCTTAATTGATGAAGCATTGACAAGTATATACATCTTAATTAGTAAGTTATTTCTCAAATATATTGGGCATGATAAACTTTGTTTTTGACACTCATTTTGGAGCTTAATATCAAATCATTAGTACATTTTCTTCCTCTTTCCATCTTTTTCTTGAAGGCTACCATGGAAATGAATAACTAAATCACTCCTTGTTTGGAATATATATATAATATATATATATATATATATACACACACACACATTTCTCTTTTTATATCTATATCAATGATTTGTTCTTACTCTTCATGCTTGCGCCCAACTTCATTCATAGGATGCTTGATGTCATTGAGGAAGAGACTTCATATCTCACTCATGCTTAACACCAAACTACCCGCGCCTAATGTGATTGAGGCAAAGAGTCTCCCATTCTCTCGTGTCTGGTATGGCAAAACTCATGCCCGACCCGAATCACGTAGATGACCTTTGTCTAACTCATCTTCAACGTCACATACATTAGCACCCAGTGCAAATCTAAACAGAAAATGAGTATCTCTCCTCACACTAGGTAACATTTAATTCACGCCTAATGTTTGTGGCATTGGCAAAAAAATGACGAAAGTCTATGCGCCCTAAAAAAATTGTTAACAAATATTATTGGATCTAGTTTTGGGCTTCATGGGCCTTTGGGCTTTTGACTGCTTCAGAGCTTAGTGAGCCCAATGGGTTTGGTGGGCCTAGGGTTCTCTTTACTTGGGTTTTACATGGTTGACCACCTTTTTCATATATTTGGTAGTATATGAGTTTATATTGTTTGGTCTTGTATTATGGGCCTTAGTATAAAATTTTTTGGGTTTTAAGCTTATTGGGCCTAGTTTTGGGCTTCATGGGCCTTTGGGCTTTTGATTGCTTCAGAGCTTAGTGAGCCCAATGGGTTTGGTGGGCCTAGGATTCTCTTTACTTGGGCTTTACATGGATGACCACCTTTCTCATATATTTGGTAGTATAAGAGTTTATATTGTTTGGTCTTGTATTATGGGCTTTAATATAAGTCTTTTTGGGTTTTAAGCTTATTGGGCCTAATTTTGGGCTTCATGGGCCTTTGGGCTTTTGATTACTTCTGAGCTTAGTGAGCCCAATGAGTTTGGTGGGCCTAGGGTTCTCTTTACTTGGGCTTTACATAGATGACCACCTTTCTCATATATTTGGTAATATAGGAATTTATATTGTTTCGTATTGTATTATGAGCCTTAGTATAAGACTTTTTGGGTTTTAAGCTTATTAGGCCTAGTTTTGGGCTTCATTCATAGGATGCTTGATGTCATTGAGGAAGGGGCTTCATATCTCACTCACGCTTAGCACCAAACTATCCGCACCTAATGTGATTGAGGCAAAGAGTCTTCTATTCTCTCGTGTCTAGTATGACAAAACTCACGTCCGACCCTAATTAGGCAGAGGGCCTTTGTCTAACTTATGTTTAACGCCACATACATTAGCACCCAATGCAAATCTAAACAGAAAATGAGTATCTCTCCTCACAATAGGTGACATTTAATCAATGCCTAATGTTTGTGGCATTGGCAACAAAACGACGAAAGTCTATGCACCTCAAAAGCAATTAAACTAATGTAAATCAAATTTAAAAATATTTGTGAACATCATTTTTTTAAGAGGAAAATGTCAAGATGTAAAACTAAAACTAACAAATTTTTGCAATGATTTAAATGAGAGAAAATTATATTTATAGTAGAAAATTTTGTTTTGTGTTATTTTCTAATTAGAATTAGAAATTTACGCATATAATTAATGTAAACTTCTAATTCTAATAGAAAAACATTATCAATTGAAAAACTATACTTAAATTTTAAATGTAATTTAGTAGAATGAAAAAAAAATATTATTTTGCTTAAAAAAAAGTTTTTATGACAAATATGTAGTTAGAACGATCCGTTCCGAATTTAGAACGGCCCGTTCTAGTTTAACTGGTCATGTGTTATTTTTGAATCTGGAACGGGTCGTTCTGATTTCGGAACGGGCCATTCTGATCTATTCGTCATGTGTTATTATTTTATCTGGAACGGGCCATTCTGATTTCAGAAGGACCGTTCTGAACGTGAATAGCAGTTGCATTAGTACATTAGAACATATGCTTTTTGGGTAAAAAATTTTTTTAAAAATTATTTTAATAAAAAATTCAGAAACTTTGATCATGTGTGATAGGATATATAATATGCTAATAGGTTGGATACATCTAATGATAAATAAAAGTGGTGCATGTTGCACCACTTGCATTAGTGGTCCTTGGTAGACTACACCATCTGACATAAGTACTTGTATTCCAACTTGCACAAATGATCTGACAAAAAATAGGTGATGTAATTTAAAATTTTCACTTCTAACAGTCAAGTTTTCATTTCAAGATACCAGTACCCCAATAAGATGTGGGAAAATTGTGAATGACTAATTAAGCTAGATATGATTATCTTTTGATTCTTTTCAATAGTACAATTTTTGATACAAGTGTGATAAAGGAATCTTATCTTTCAGAAACAAATTAAAGTGTAACATTAATGTGGATCTTAATTACATTCTTACTGAAATCATGAGAAGGGAAAACTTTTAACCCAAAGGGGGAAAAGAAGAATGTATAGATAGGAGGAGTTTCTTGAGGAAGCATTTATGGGGCAGACAGTCAAAGAAATGATTCAAGTTCAAACGGTGGAAGTGGAATACACAATAATTCAATATTCTGAAAAAGTAGACCTATTTTCACGGACTCATGCTCTAGCATCTAGCCTTCTTGCTTCTATCAATAACAGTTTTTCTCTGCTATGCTACCACTTTACAACTTCCATGGGGAATGGGGCAACTTGGCCCATATTCTTGCCACACCTTTTGACTTCTCATTCATTCGCCTTTTTGACCCCATTAGTTTTATTATGCAAACTAATTATATAATTTCTCACTTTAGAGTCGTTAATACAAGTATTGTTAGTCAACATAGTGTAATTTCATGTTATGTAATTTTTTTTTTAAAAAAAAGAACATGATTTAAAAAGTGAAGTCGAATTGTATGCATAATCTCGAATGCGATTCCAATGACACTTATGTTAATTCAACCTCACTCCACTGTGCTACTATCAAATGATAAAATATCACTTCCATAATTCAGAATAATATCAATATCAAATCCGTCAAAATGGTTTCTGCGGAGAAGGATTCAATTTTATTTATTTATTTTTTGGTAATGCATGTATTACAATTTTTTTCAAGTGGTGTCAACACACGCATTATAAATTTTTTCGAGTGGTGTCATTGTGAGTAGCGACACCTTATATAAAAAAGAATATCTTCTGCTCAAATCAACGACACTAGAAGAATAATATAAAATTTTTAAAAAATAGTTTTCCATTGGGCGATAGTGGCACTAGTTGGGAGTAGCAGCACTAGAAAAATAACAATTTTTTTTTTAAAAACTAGTCCCTTAAACCAGTTATTAAAAAAAAATTTGATCCCTAGTTGGAGATAATGAGACTTATTTTAAATTAACTAACATAAGTGTCATTAAAATTGTGTGTGAGATCACCATTGACACATGTAGCTCGACTTCACTTTTCAAGTTATTTTTTAAAATATAAAAATAAAAATATTTGGCATGGATTGATGTTTTGATCAATGAAATCCATATTGATCACCCCAAAGTGGGAATAGATTTAAAATCCCACTTCTATAATTAGTTTGCATAATGACCCTAGTTGGGTCAAAAGGCTCATTCCTTTTTTTTATAAACTATTTAGGCCTTAGGGTTTTATGGTTTAAAGTCATTCTAAATAAATTCCTTGTATTTAGAAATT